AGTGTGGGTTGATAAGGCAGTGTAGTTGAGTGGTTATAAAACCACATGAGCTCCCTTGGTTCAAATCCTGACTACTTGGGCAAACAATGCCTACATACCTCAGTTTGTTCATATAGGAAATGAGCATCTTTTTCATAGGATTAAATGGGTAAACTCCTAGAACAGTGTTTGCCGCACAGTGAGTACTATATAGACATTAGCTATAGTCATTATTATTCCTCCCTTGCCCAAGAGCTTTGTGAGGCCTGGTTACCATCTCTTCCCAACTCTTCTCCGTTGAGCCCCTCATTGTTAAGTGGAGAGGAAAGTAATTTGATTTTTAGCAGACTGGAAGAACCATTTTCCCACCCTGTCAACCACCTCTGAGAGGCCTCAACCCTTCCCCTGCCCTCAACCACTTTCTCTTTTTCCTCTGTAGGTCCTGGTCCACCTCCACACAGTATTGTGAAACCTGTAATGCTTACTTCCAAGACTCTAACCACCGCACATCCACTGCTCATCTGCTGTCACTGACCCAGGATTTCCGACCCTCCAACCTGCCCCTTGGGGTGCCCACCTCCAGCCCAGGCTTCAAATTACTGCTGAGGGGGGGCTGGGAACCTGGAATGGGACTGGGACCCCGGGGTGCAGGTCGTGCCAACCCAATCCCCACTGTACTTAAGAGGGACCAGGAAGGATTAGGCTACAGATCAGTGCCCCAACCCCGAGTCACACACTTCCCAGCTCGGGATATCCGGGCTGTGGCTGGGAGGGAGAGAGCCCCTAGGGGGACCACACTGAGTTGGAAGGAGGAGAAAAGGCAAGAGGAGAAGGACAGGGCCTGGGAGCGTGATCTGAGAATGTACATGAATCTTGACTTCTGATTTTGGTGAGGTCTGACCCTGGTCTGTTGCTGAAGTCTGAATTTGGGTCTCTCACCTGGGCATTTTGGCTTCTACTTCCTGGGGTAGGCCCAGGTCCCAGACAGTCAGGTTTTGGTCACTGGGCTCTGCCTTTGAGAGAGAGGGACTGGGAATTGATAAATAAATCATCCTTCTCTTTCTTTTGTGTCTGTTTTTCTAGGAACTGTTGTGGGGAAACCAAACAACTCTAGGGGCAACATGCAAGTCCCACCTGCCAGAGCAAAAGGGGTAGATAGATCATCTGCCAGTCTGGCTCACTTCCAGGTCCTAGCCCCTTCCTGGACTATTATTTCAGCCCCCTGAACCTGGAATTGCTCAACTGTGCAAGTCTCACCTCCCCCAGGAAGTGTTCCCTGTCCACTCCACCCAATTTAACCACTGATTTCATAAACCAAGTTCATATACTATGTGCTAAGAATAGGAGGAATAAGAGACCTTCCCAACCTTCCAGGTTGCTCACAGCTAGAGGGGGAGATAGCCATGTGTATCAAATACAATGTATGGTGACAAGAGACTTTAAAGAAGGCGCACAGAAGTGATGGGGGTGGGGACGGTCTTGCAGGAAGAGAGGTCTTTGTGGTGAGCGGGCTTAAGATTCTCCAGCCTGCAATGCTGAGCTGAACGGGGACCAGAACTCTGGCCTCCCACACTAAACTTCAAGCCAAGATTCTTCATCTCATTACCTGAAAACTCCGGAGGGCAGCAAACATACCCTGTTTGTCTACATTTGTCTTCCCCACACTCCCTTCTCCCCTCCTGTTGCTCATACCAGGTACTGGGTGCATAAGGAGCTCACTGTTGTCAAATATAGGAAGTAAAATCTGGAGGGGCAGAGGAGGGCTACTCAAGTCCCAGACTCCTTTCATTAGCTCTTTTTTCCTGAAAAACGTTTCATGGAGTCATGGAAAGGAAAAGGAGGAGTGATGGGGAGTGCGGAGAAGAACCCAAGGGCGGAGGGGGTAATGGGGACGGGCGAGTTTAGGGGACCACTGGCGGGCGGGGGCCTCTGACCGAAGAAGATGTAAGGCTGTGAGGCTGGGTTATATGCAGGCGATGGCCCTCGCTGACAGCGGCTCGGTGCCCTGCGGTAAAGCCGCGGGCGCGCTAAGAGCGCGCACTCTGGGAGCGGATGTGCCGGGGGAGGTCGATCCGCCAGAGTCCGCCCCGCGAGTTGCGGGCTCCGCCCAGGCCTGTCCCTCCAGTCCCGGTGCAGCTGCTTCCGGGCTCGGCGGCTCCGTGAGGCCGCGGCCCCGAAGCTGGGCCCAGCCCAGGTGGGGCCGCAGCCCGTAGCTCCCAGACCGACGCCTGGGTCCCCAGGCTGTCCCGCGCTCTGCCTTGGGAGATCCCCTCGGATCTCCGAGGACATCACCGGCCTGACCTTGCCGAGGCCTCGTCTCAACTGCGTGCTCGGGGACTGGTCGGGCCGCTTTGTAGGATTCACAGTCCTCTAAACAAGGGACGAGCGCTGCTGGCTGGAGTTAGCTGGACACCCCTCCCTTACCCCCTGGTAGGAGACTTCCTATTCCTCAGCTCGCTTAGGGCAGCAGTTCAGAACTGCCCAAACTGGGAGCATCTAGGACGGGTGTCCACCGTCCTTGTTGGATGGAGCACCGCCTCCCCACTTTCTGGGGCACCTTGCAGCGTGGCCTTGGTGAGTGAAGCTTGGGGTGCTTCTTGATGGGAAAGAAGCCCCAGAAATACAGGAAGGACACTGTTGGGGGTGACCCAGGCCTTGTCAGATCCTGAGACTCTTGGAATCTTGTGTGTGGGGTGGTGGCAGTGGTGGTGAATGAATTTGGAGGTGCCTCCCTTCTTCACCTCAAAACTGAAAAGGAAACAAGCCACCGGCCACACTTGAGGCTGCATGACCATCCAGGGAAATGGGGAGCCACTTCTGAATTCAGAGCAGGACTCACCAAGCAAGTATCTGTTTTTCTGAGCCTGAACAGACTCTGGCTTCTGAGGAGGCCCTCAGTCTCCAAAACTGAGAGTCTAAGCAGTGCCAGGAAGCAGCCCCAGAATTTGGGAGCTCAATACACAGCCAGCCATGTTCCTGCGGAGGCTTGGTGGCTGGCTACCTCACCGCTGGGGCCACAGGAAACCCAGGAAGCCTGACCTGCCTGCCCCAGAATCCAGATTGGCAAACAGCTCCTCTGAGAATTCAGGGAGTGACTGGGACAGTGCCCCAGAAACCATGGGAGATATGGGGTCTCCCAAGACTTCAGACTCAGGGGCACGGAGGAGCTCTGGAGCTGCTGCAGAACCAAGCAGGGAATTCCAAGTTGAGCAACTGGGGAGCAAAAGGATGGATTCCCTCAAGTGGGACAAGACCGCCTCTGGCATCCAAGAGTCTGGGAGACTGGAGGTTGGAGGGGCCATTCCCAAACTGGGATGGGATTCTGTGGGCTCAAGTGGCACCAGGAGACCTGGAGAGTCGCCTGAAGAGGGACTGAGCCCCACTGGGCCTGAAACCCCAGTGGAGAAGCCCAGCCGGCGTCGGAAACTACTGGGCTGGCTGCGGGGTGAACCAGGTCAGGGAGCCGGGGCTTCCTCACAGAACCCAGGGGGCCCAGAGGAGTGTCTGCAGATCTCCACCAACCTGACCTTGCACCTGCTGGAGCTGCTGGCCTCAGCCCTGCTGGGGCTATGCTCACGACCGCTGAGGGCAATCTTGGATGCACTGGGCCTGCGTGGACCACTGGGCCTCTGGCTGCATGGGCTACTGTCCTTTTTGGCTGCCCTGCATGGGCTTCACGCCGTGCTGAGCCTACTTACTGCTCACCCCCTGCACTTTGCCTGCCTCTTTGGTCTTCTACAGGCCCTGGTGCTGGCTGTCAGCCTCCGGGAGCCCAGTGGGGATGAGGAGGCCACTGACTTGGAGGGTGAGAAGTTGGAAAGGGAGGGTGGAGAGCAGAGGGGAGACCCAGGACAGGGGCTGTGACTGCAGGTAGGGTGTGACTGAGGCCCCACCCTCTTGAGGTGGGAGCAAGGATGAAGACAGTGTGGCCTTTAGGAGGAAAGTGGGGGCATGACCCAGATTGTAAGCACAGGAACCTCAGGGATGGGAGGAAACCCCAGAGCATGAGGGCACAGGGCCCCCCCTTCACACACAGGAGAGAATAGAGCTGCTTAGGGCATCTGTGTTTATGGACAGTGGGGGTATCACCCTTGAATTCACCAGCTGTTGTTACTTTTTGCTTTTACATTTCTCCTACATTCAGTTTTTTTTTCCACCTTTCCTTTTTAAAAGCCAAAAAAAAGAAAAAAAAAATGTGTGGTGATAGAGAATAACTACAGGGTCTTCTCTACCTATCAAACCCCCCAAGTCTGAAGACCAGAGGCAGGAGAAACAGACTTCTGGTTGGGGTAAAAGGGTGGTTGAGAGGCCAAAGGGATCCCTCCTGGGATCTAAGCTATCTAGAGAAGAGTGGGGCTGCTAGGCCGATAGATCAGGGGGTCCAGGTGGGGGCCCACAGGTGATGGAGCCTGCAGAGAGGCTGTGGGTGTTCCCAGGAGACAGGGGGAGTGGGGATGGTGCAGCACTATTGGCAGGAGGGCCAGTTCAGAGGGGCTGGCAGCCCAGACAGGCAGTGTGGGGAAGCACTGGAGCTTGCAGTCCGCACACTGGTAAGGGTTGGCTCACTCAGCAATAAATAACTGTGTCACATCAAATCCTAAATATACCACTATGAAGTGAGAGCTACCGCCTTTCAGTGTCCTTCCTGACACCCGCCGTCCAGCTGGGGGATTAGGTGGTAGAAGATCCAAGGTGGAGAATTGAAATAGGGATATTAGGATTGATGTCTGGAAATAAACCCCAATTGAAAAATGATCTTTATTATTCTTAAGAGGGAGTTGGGAGTCTCCAGGTTCTCCTCTCCCCATTATCTCAGCTCCTACTATATCCATCTGGGGGCACAGCTGCAGCCATATGTCAGTTACTAGACAGCTCACAGGTCTCTGGTGGGAGGAGGGAGAAAAAGAGATGGAAAGTAAGGAAATCCAGGGAGAGAAGGAAAGCTGATGGTAATAATAGAGTGGAGAGTGCATTCCCTCATCCCCACGTCAGAGAAGGGGTCAGTGAGGAGTTTTCCCTCCATGTTGAAGCCTGACCTGCCTGCCCCAGAATCCAGATTGGCAAACAGCTCCTCTGAGAATTCAGGGAGTGACTGGGACAGTGCCCCAGAAACCATGGGAGATATGGGGTCTCCCAAGACTTCAGACTCAGGGGCACGGAGGAGCTCTGGAGCTGCTGCAGAACCAAGCAGGGAATTCCAAGTTGAGCAACTGGGGAGCAAAAGGATGGATTCCCTCAAGTGGGACAAGACCGCCTCTGGCATCCAAGAGTCTGGGAGACTGGAGGTTGGAGGGGCCATTCCCAAACTGGGATGGGATTCTGTGGGCTCAAGTGGCACCAGGAGACCTGGAGAGTCGCCTGAAGAGGGACTGAGCCCCACTGGGCCTGAAACCCCAGTGGAGAAGCCCAGCCGGCGTCGGAAACTACTGGGCTGGCTGCGGGGTGAACCAGGTCAGGGAGCCGGGGCTTCCTCACAGAACCCAGGGGGCCCAGAGGAGTGTCTGCAGATCTCCACCAACCTGACCTTGCACCTGCTGGAGCTGCTGGCCTCAGCCCTGCTGGGGCTATGCTCACGACCGCTGAGGGCAATCTTGGATGCACTGGGCCTGCGTGGACCACTGGGCCTCTGGCTGCATGGGCTACTGTCCTTTTTGGCTGCCCTGCATGGGCTTCACGCCGTGCTGAGCCTACTTACTGCTCACCCCCTGCACTTTGCCTGCCTCTTTGGTCTTCTACAGGCCCTGGTGCTGGCTGTCAGCCTCCGGGAGCCCAGTGGGGATGAGGAGGCCACTGACTTGGAGGGTGAGAAGTTGGAAAGGGAGGGTGGAGAGCAGAGGGGAGACCCAGGACAGGGGCTGTGACTGCAGGTAGGGTGTGACTGAGGCCCCACCCTCTTGAGGTGGGAGCAAGGATGAAGACAGTGTGGCCTTTAGGAGGAAAGTGGGGGCATGACCCAGATTGTAAGCACAGGAACCTCAGGGATGGGAGGAAACCCCAGAGCATGAGGGCACAGGGCCCCCCCTTCACACACAGGAGAGAATAGAGCTGCTTAGGGCATCTGTGTTTATGGACAGTGGGGGTATCACCCTTGAATTCACCAGCTGTTGTTACTTTTTGCTTTTACATTTCTCCTACATTCAGTTTTTTTTTCCACCTTTCCTTTTTAAAAGCCAAAAAAAAGAAAAAAAAAATGTGTGGTGATAGAGAATAACTACAGGGTCTTCTCTACCTATCAAACCCCCCAAGTCTGAAGACCAGAGGCAGGAGAAACAGACTTCTGGTTGGGGTAAAAGGGTGGTTGAGAGGCCAAAGGGATCCCTCCTGGGATCTAAGCTATCTAGAGAAGAGTGGGGCTGCTAGGCCGATAGATCAGGGGGTCCAGGTGGGGGCCCACAGGTGATGGAGCCTGCAGAGAGGCTGTGGGTGTTCCCAGGAGACAGGGGGAGTGGGGATGGTGCAGCACTATTGGCAGGAGGGCCAGTTCAGAGGGGCTGGCAGCCCAGACAGGCAGTGTGGGGAAGCACTGGAGCTTGCAGTCCGCACACTGGTAAGGGTTGGCTCACTCAGCAATAAATAACTGTGTCACATCAAATCCTAAATATACCACTATGAAGTGAGAGCTACCGCCTTTCAGTGTCCTTCCTGACACCCGCCGTCCAGCTGGGGGATTAGGTGGTAGAAGATCCAAGGTGGAGAATTGAAATAGGGATATTAGGATTGATGTCTGGAAATAAACCCCAATTGAAAAATGATCTTTATTATTCTTAAGAGGGAGTTGGGAGTCTCCAGGTTCTCCTCTCCCCATTATCTCAGCTCCTACTATATCCATCTGGGGGCACAGCTGCAGCCATATGTCAGTTACTAGACAGCTCACAGGTCTCTGGTGGGAGGAGGGAGAAAAAGAGATGGAAAGTAAGGAAATCCAGGGAGAGAAGGAAAGCTGATGGTAATAATAGAGTGGAGAGTGCATTCCCTCATCCCCACGTCAGAGAAGGGGTCAGTGAGGAGTTTTCCCTCCATGTCTGACTCTGTCCCCTTTATCTACTGCAAACTCAGAAACTGCCCTTTTGTGTAGCCCAGAGTCCATCCTGGCTTCGTCAAGTGACATCATAGCTCTCAGCCACATTCCTCTGGTGCCATCACAGCCCATGACACAAATAGAGGTGTCAATGCAGCCACACTAATGCGGTCAGCCTGTGGTCATGCCCTCTGGTGACATAACTTGAGTTCCTTTCATCCCATACCCTCAGTAGATTTGGTGAGTCCTAGTCCTCTTCTGTGAGACTTTACCCCCTCACCTTGATTCCTTGGAGTTAGTAAGAAGGCCTTGGACTCTAGGCAGAAGGTCAGGGACTGGAATTCCTCCACGCACTTCTCAGGAGGGTGTGGTGAGCGATCTGGAATGGCAGGGCAGGACAGGGCCAGGCCCATCAAAGTCCCTGCTTCTCAGCAATGCCCCTGGTGACCTTGTGGAAGCACCCAGCTCTTCCTGGGATGATGGCACAGGGCCTAGAATGAGGGGCTCTCCTGCCCTCCCATGTTTCCCCAAACACTTTCTACTTGGCATCTCCACCCACTGTAAAGGAGGAAGCGCTGGTAACCCTGGCCTGTCTCTTTCAGCATGATTCCATCTGGGCATGAGCTGAAGAAGAGCTTGGTCTCCATGTCGGGACGGCCTGTCAGGGTGGGTGAAGAGAAGGGTGAGGACAGATAAGCAAAACCATTGAAGCCCAGGGGACTTGTGGAGGGTGAGGGCTGGAGAGAACCAACCTTCAGTTCTGAGATCTGTGCTCCCCTCAGTTAGGTGGTAGGTCCATTTCCGGGGTACACAGAGCCCATTTTTCCTGCAGAGGTGGTGGTGTCAAGGAGGAAAGACTGAGCAATAATCTAACCATACCATACCAGCCTCTATTTATTCTGCCTTATTCCTTCCTGAAGACCAGGTCCTCTTGGGTTTCAAACTCCCAAGGGATGGTTAGGCTTATCTCCAGAGGGAAATTAATAGAGCTATGAACTCAGTGGGCCAAGAAGAGTGGATATGGGTGTTCACAGCTGGGGCAGAGACTGCCCCTACTGGTGCCTTGGCCTCACCACTCACGTGCGGATGGTAGCGCGAAGCTGGAGCTCCGTGGGGGCAGAGCCCGCAGCCATGTTGAAGACAATGTTGTCCACAGGGTCAAAAGTCACTAAGTCCTCCTTGGTGGGAGCTGCCCCTGCAATAAAGTACCACTGGCCCAGGTGGGGCTCTGGGAACTGGAGAGACAACAAGGGGAGCAGAAGAGGGTGGGTCCCATGACATGGTCCATCTAACCTCTTCATCAGTCAGGACAGCAACACTTAGGGGTGGAGGTGTTGGTCGCTTTTTTCCAATAGTGGGTTGGATTCATGGCAGGGAGTCACTATATGAATTTTCCTCTGTGACTTTCCTCCATCAATCTGAGTAAACCATTCCCACACTCACCAAATTCTACCAGGTCTCCACATTGATGGCCACAGTACTAATTACTTTTTTACTTGTTCTTAATCACAACATTCACACCCTCTTCCTCCCTTCCTTTCCCAATGTGACTTCTGGTCATCCTAGACTCCCCACCCAAGTCCCTCAGAGCTCCCACCATAAGCTTTCCCCATTCTCAGTTCATACCTCTTTCCCATCCACACTCTGAGTTGTCAGTTGACTATGCTCAGGGCACTGGTAGATAGAGTTAAGGAGAATGCCATAGAGGTAGAGTAGAGCTGCCCAAATTTGGTGGAACATCTTCCAGCAGGAGGGAGCTGGTGTTCTATGTGGAGTGGCTGGTGCCTTAGCTGCTCTCTCCCCTGCTGGCTGCTTAGTCCACTCTGCTCCCAGCCCCTTGCCTCAACCCTTGACCCTTTCACCTGCTAATGAGTAACTTCAACTTTGTTTTCCAGCCCAAACCTGGATTACTTAGTGTTTGGGCCATCCTCCCCCTCTGCTAGATGCAACGACTCCATAATACACCCTGGCATGTTCAGGGTCCCTTGGGAATTCTAAGGAGAGCTGGATCCTCCAGGTCTTTTAAACCGTATTTGAATGAATATCTGCTGTGTGTAGCATTGAAGGAAGTTGGATTTATTGTTTCATTCATTAACTTAGCAAACTGTTGTTGAGTCCCAGCTATTTACCAGCAATTTGCAAAGCCTGCGGGATATAAAAATGAGTAAGACAGTCCCTGGCCTTGAAGAAGTCAGTCTAAAGAAAACTAGCTGTGTAAACAAATCATTGCAATATACCCAGTTAAGAGCTTCAGAACAGGTGTGAACCAGGTGCTGGGACATAGCAGATAGGAGGCTTTCTCTGTGGAGTTTATAATTGGGGACTGGTAACTACCCTCCCACCCCACTCCCCCATTGCCCCATTAAAGCTTGCTGAGTTCATTTACTCAATGTTTATTATTACAAGAGGCTACATAATCTATGGCTAAAGAGAATGGATGCTGGTGTCAGGCAAGTGAGTCCAAACCCTAATTCTACTAATAAGATCTTGGATAATTTTGTTAATCTCAGTGCCTGATTTTTCATCTGTAAAATGAGCGAATCCTCAATATCATAGGGTTAAAAGCAGTAATGCCCACTAAGCTTTAAGCGACGGCCTGCACATGGTAAATACAAAGTAAGTATTCGTTGTAATTAATAGTGATGTTTATAAAGCACTTATTACAGCTTCTGTGGCGTAATAAGTTCTAAAATAATAGGAGACATGGAAAAATTGTCAAGAGGCAGTCGTTGGGTAGTGCCAAGTGGGTGAAGCAGTTAAGGCAATGAAAGGTGGGCTTCCTTAATTATTTGTAACTCAGCCTGCCAAGAAGAGATTTGTCCTGAGAGGCGAGACTTACTATGGACTTTGTAATTTAGTGAAAAGAACAAAATTTGGGTGATGGGTATATGAGGGTTCATCACACTACTTTATTTTGGGGGTAGTATTTGACATTTTTTATAACAACTAAAATACAACAATTTATTGGGGCAGTAAAGTAGACAGATGTGCTTGACCCGGAGTCTGGTGGGCGACGATTTGTCAGTTCTGCCACATACGTTCGTCTAGGTGTACTCACTCATAAAACTATTTCAGATATTGAAAGGCTTTTAAGTAAGACAGTACGTAAGAGGCTTATTAAATTGGCTGCCCAAACTAATTGCCAGTGAACAGGATTTAGAACTAGATTGAACAGTACTGGGACCGGTATATTAACTACGAATACCAGAAAGACCCGGCAGCGAAGGGTCTGACTGGAGGACCCTTGCCCGAAAGTGGGGCGGTGGGGGCGGGTAGAAGAGCGCAGAGGGTCTGTAACCCTCCTTCTGGCCCAGACCGCGAAGCCCTCTGGCAGGCCCTACAGGGTCAGATTCCTGTGGTTCGGTCCAGTTTGATTCCATTTTCTTCCAGTTTCCAAACTCGGAGGCGCTCGGAGTCCTGAAAGGTAGTAAATTCTGATTTTCCAGAACAGGGGAGTGTCTCCTTGGCCGCGCACCGCTGGTTAGGAACATGGCGCCCACACTCCGCAAAACTCCTACCGGGCAGACCCGAGGTCAAGTTCTACGAAGTCACCCAGACTGAGGAAGCTCGCGAGCTACCTTCAACCCTTCCGAAAGGGCGACCTCCCGAGGCGCCGAAATAGTGGCAACGTGAGGGCGTTAGTGAGAGGCAGGCCGAAGTTTAGGTGGCCAGGACAGTGCCGTCTCAAATTCTCTGCAGGCCAAGACTTTACATTGATTAACGAGGCACAATACCCAGTCCCCAATCTCCATACACTCGTCCAAAGTGTCTCGAGGCAGGCGCAGAGTCCCATGTCGTAGATTTTTTTTTTTAATTCTGGCATTTATAGTGGCCACCTCAATCTCCTAACACTGAAGCGCGCGCACAGAAAAAGTGAACCCCGCCAGCAGGGGCGGGGAGGTGCCTAAGTATATACGCAGGCGTAGGGCGACTCACGCAGGCGCAATACGCCCCCCGCCGCCCCCCCCACCCCCCGCGGCGACGGCCGTGGTCGCGGCGGTTCCTTGGGGTCCTCGGTCTCTCCCATCTAGGCCGGCCCCGGCCTGTCTTGCTTCCAGGAACTCACTGGGGCCGCGAACTTTCTTGTTGTACCCCACAAAAGTAAAGTTTGGGGACCTGGAGGGAGCCGGAAGTACCGCCTCGCGATCCCCAAATACTATCGGGAAAACGGATTGGCAGTCGGTGGCATCTTGGGGGAGACCGGAAGTGACGGTACCGTGGGGAAGTCGGGGGCGGATCCGCTGGGTCGTGGTGTGTGTGTTTGGCGTGTGTTGGTTGTGCCGCTCCGCTAGAGTACCGAGGGAAGGTGGAAGAGCGGGGCGGTCAGCTAGCCGGTCTGGCCCCCCGTAAGTGTCCGTCATCTTGAGTCGATCTGTCGTGATTTAGGCGGGTACGATTGGCGTGGCTTGGTGCGCGTGCGCCAAACCACTTTCTCCGGGAGTTTGGGGCGATTTTCGCTCTCGTGTTGCTCCAGGGTTTGCTCACCTCTGGGCCCCTTGTCCTCTCGCTACCGGTGATGACACTGGTCTCGTGCTTCCTTCCCTGCTTCCTAGCCCGACTGGCCCTCCCTTATTGTGATTGGCATCGTGGAGCCCCTCCCACCTCCCGTCCTCCAGCTCCCTGTACTGTCGATCTCCTGCCCTTTGTGTTTTATTCCGTGTGCCCCGGAATTAGAAGGGGGTTGGGGATGGGTGTAAGTGTGTGTTCTTATGTGGAAGAAACTCTTTAGGTATTGGGGCGGAGACTCAGGCCGAGGAGGGTTCCGGGCATATAAAATTTGCTTTGGGCGACAGTGGGCCTCCCTCCCTCCATTCCTCCTTAGAGACCTGTCCGCCATGGAGCCCAGTGATAATACCATTACCACTGTGGAGGAGCCTGACAGCCTGGAAGTGCTGGTGAAGACTCTGGACTCTCAGACTCGGACCTTTATTGTGGGGGCCCAGGTGAGATCCCAGTACTTTGGGAAGACATCCATTAACTCTCTCTCTTTTGTAGGCCCCTTAACCTCAGCCTGATTTTCTCGTCCTTAAATTTTCTTTTATTGATTCCTTTGTATAAATTTTAGGCAGAACAATAATTGATGTTTCTTGCTGAGCGAGAAGGTATGGTTTCTGTTGAGTGAGGCATATTTTGTTCTACCTTCTCCACCTCAGTGGAACTTAGTGCAGAGCGAAATGTGGAGGAAGGAGGAATCTATGACATAATGAGTAAACCCCAGCCCAAAGGGATAGATATGGCTTCTGCCTTTGGAAAGGGAAACAGAACACACAGATTCAAAACACAAGTGTGTCTTAAAAACAAAAATTTGTCATGTTAATGTTGTGTATTTAAAGGTGACAAGTCAACCCATAATGCAGGTAAGTGCATTAGTAGACAGTGGAATTTATAATATTTGTAGCATATTTTGAATCTTGCGAGCTTAAGGCCATAGACATGGCTATTTATATCATTATTCTTGTAATACCTGGAGACAAAATAGTGAGGGGTTTGTCCATGGTCTTTAAAATAAGTATTCAAGAAAGCCATGTAAGCTTTTCTGATTTAGATGTATGTAAACTGCCTGGTACTTTCCAGTCAGTTGTCTGGTTAGAAAAAATGTTTTTCTTTTCTGCCCCTGCTCTGTTTTTGGTTGAGTCTTCTTTCCTTAACCCAATTCTCCATCGCATTGTCCTTATCATGGCTTTTGTCTTTGAGATTATAGAGCTGTATCATTTTGTGTTTTGGGAGGGGTCACTGGTATCTTTAGATACATATTCCCTTGGGCAGAGGAGGAGAGAAGGGAGTGTCGGCTTTTCTGTTTCTCAGCCATATAGTTTTTTTTTCTAAGCTTGTAACCTGAACATCATTAATCTCTATTTTGACAGATGTTGTCTTAGTTGGGGGTTTTGCACAATAATTACCTCACAGTCAAGACAAATGGATAGTAATTTTATGGTAGGATGGTTTGTACTCTTCACGCCTGCAATTGCATTGTCTCTCTTCTGTCCTTCCTCTTTCCTCTATTCCCTGATACCTATTCATGCCTCCTCTTCTTTGCAGATGAACGTGAAGGAGTTTAAGGAGCACATTGCTGCCTCTGTTAGCATCCCCTCCGAGAAACAACGGCTTATTTACCAGGGACGTGTCCTGCAGGATGATAAGAAGCTCCAGGAATACAGTAAGGGGGTAGGGGAGGCAGTTCAGAGGTTGAGGCAGCCGTCCAGAGGGATGGCTGGGGCTTTGGGTTTACCTGATCAGTAATGTTTTGGTGTTTTGTTTTTTTTTCCTGCAGATGTTGGGGGAAAGGTCATCCACCTGGTGGAACGGGCTCCTCCTCAGACTCAGCTACCTTCTGGGGCATCTTCTGGGATAGGGTCTACCTCAGCCACCCATGGTGGGGGATCCCTGCCTGGTACTCGGGGCTCTGGGGCCTCTGTTCACGACCGGAATGCTAACAGCTATGTCATGGTTGGAACCTTCAATCTTCCTGTAAGCTTATGTTCCACATGGAGGGTTTTTGTTGGGGGAAAGGTAGTTTTGGTTGTGGTAGCAGCAGAGAACTCGTAAGACAAGTATCCCAGTTTTTAGATTGGGTTTGGAGGGTCCTGTGGTCTGATAATGGCCTCAGTGTTTGTGGAAAAAAGGTGGGGGCCCAGAGAATGAGTTGGAGGTGTGGGGGCCTTAGTATTTGGCTTCTCCCAGAGCAACTTCCCTTACCCTTTCCTCAGAGTGATGGCTCTGCTGTGGATGTTCACATCAACATGGAACAGGCCCCGATTCAGGTATCTTGGGGCCTGGGAGAAGAAGGCCATGAGGTGGGGTAGAACTTGCAAGGAGATGGCTGGGACCTGGTTTAGCAGGCTGTGGAGTTCATGGCTTCATCTCAAACCTGCCCTAATCTTCCCTCTTACTGTAGAGTGAGCCCCGAGTACGGCTGGTGATGGCTCAGCACATTATC